CAAGGCGGTCCGGACAGTCCGGGTCCGGTGATGTCCGGGTGTCCGGTACTGTCCGGATCACCGGACAGTCCGGACCGGTCCAGACACAGGTCCGGAAAACAGTCCGGAAATGTCCGGTGTCCGGGTCCGCGGTTACCATGATTCAGACTGATGAGAAATTCTGCAATTAGCACACAGAAGGCAAGGTGCTTACGAAGTCAATCGTCTGATCCTGAGAACAAAGTTTTGGCGGGATAACCTGCTGCTGTATTGGAGCATAGGCCCCCGTAGCATGTCTTTTGTATGTCAGTGGAGCATTTATTGGAAAGAGAGTGGAAGCTTTCAACACAGACTGAGTGGCATAGAGGAGAGGTCTGTAGCTCGTGTGTTAACGTCCTCCTATTCGATCTATGTGGCTATGCTGCACCCACATCGAATTGTGCACGCTGAGGTTGGCCGAGTCCAGAAAAAACAACTATTGCCAACCTCAGGTTTTTCAAAGAACCAGCACATGAGAACTCAAAAAAATCAAGGTGCAAGAGTTCACAGAAGTTTCCTCTCGGCTAGCTTATTAGTAGGTTCCATACGTGAGCGGCACCGAGTACTAGGTGCTGAGTTCCAAGTTCAAACCCGCTCCTGTCACTTTCAGTGTCCTGAGGTTAGCCGAGGCCAGAACAACGGTGGTAGGTGCTGGGGCGAGTTGTGCCACCCTGTCACACCTACCGTAGCTATGCAGGAGCATGAGGCCTGGTAGAGAGATCTTGAAAGTGGCCCATGTTATAACAGGTGTGGTGCCAAGTATGTGGTGGGAAAGGCCTGCTTAGGTGCTACTAGGTAGCCAGTTGGGACATACCCAATAAAGGAATTCTGTGGCTGAATTTAGTGACTATCATCTCAGCTGATATCCATGCCTCTCAGGGTTGAGACCCTTCAAGTTACACTCTGAATATCAGTGGATGATGGCGTACTCTCAGCCGAAGCCGGGGAATAGGCCCGGTGCTCTTAAATTTTCTTGCATATGTTTTTTAAACTTTTTTTTCACATGGGATGTTGGGCCCGGTTCCAGCATGTGCTGCTGGCCACGAATAGATTGGAGCATTGTCTTTTTCTATTAAACAAACAAACAAACAATGGCACTAAACACCATTATCGTTCCCATCCCTTTGGACTGGGTACATATTCTATTAAACAAACAAACAAA